CTTGGCAAAATATTGTATAAGTCTTAGCAGGGGTAAGAGCATTTGTAAATGTTTATTCCTTACTCCATTAAGTCCTTTAAATTTATATTTTCACAAACCTCAGCTGTATCTCATATTTTGATTTGTATATATATTTTTAAGGGTCATATTTTTTAAAATAATTTAAATATGCCAGACTTAAAACAGCTGCTGTTACAGCCCTGGGTTAGTTCCTGTCCTTAAAAAATATCACAAACTATAGAATTATGTGAACAGGAGATCAGTTGCAAAACAATGGGAGAAGATGAAGCGTGTTAAAGTTCTCTTGGGTTCGCACAAACACCAAGTAGGTCCAACAAGTTTCCAATTAGTTCTTTGGCTTACCGGAATTTCCTCGTTGCTTGATGCACTGCCCTCTGTTGGGAATACCTGCAGCTGCATTTCCTGGGTTGATTATGTGGCACTCGTAGCCCGTAGGACAGTGGAGAGGCTCGTCTCCATCCTCAGTGGTGCTGCAGGCCTCAGCTGAAAGCAGAAATGTAACTTTTTTTAAAAAAGATTCAATGATAGGACCTTAAGATGGACAGGCTGGTGTAGAGTTCTCACCTTGAAGAATTTCCTCTGGACCATCCAAGAGCCAACCGTTACCTCCCAACCACCGAGGTTTGGGCTGCACCAGCCAGTCCAGCACTGTGTACATCACACAAATCACACTGTTAGGGAAATATATTAGAAAACTAAGGGTAAAAACGAACTAATTCATTTATTATTGCCGTCCCCAGACCCCATGCACTTTACATTATGAAGTTAATTGTGGTGTAAAGTTTCCACAGTCTCTATCTTCATATCCCCAGAATCATGACCTGACCTGGTGGAGGCTGAACAGACTCCAGGCAGGCGTAGATGCAGCCGTTGTAGCAGCAGCGTTTGTGACGCTCGCACTCCGAGTCGGAGCGACAGCCCGGTACCTCACAGGCTCGCTCAGGTAGCATCTGAGGTGGAGGTGGACACCGGTCGTTCTTCTGCTGCTGTGCAGACTGAGGGTGGTTGGGATACTCGTAATCCTGAGGGACAAACAACCAGAATCAGGATCAGAAATGCTCCACTGGTCCCCACAGGGAACTGTGGATGTTTCACGTGCAAACCAGAAACGTTTATTTATTATTTTGTCTTGTTAATGAGGGAATTAACTTCCCCACATATATAGGCTTACTATGCGGTTTTTTTTGTTATTCTACGTTACAGCCGTTAGAGGGCGGCAGAAGACCCAATAGTTGCCAACACGGCATCAGGTAATGATTAGTACAGCATGTAAAGAACGTATTTTTTATTTTATTTTGGATGAATATCTTAATTAATAACTACGTTAATATAACAATTTTATTTTTGATGTAATTTTTTAAACATTATTTAATTTGTCTATTTACCCTTTCTATATTTTGCCCTTATTTATTGTTATTTTTGTACCTGTTCAGTATGAAATCAATATAAGGAGAAATAGAAGTGTCTATTTATCAGAGAACAATTCTTGCCCTACTTTGTTTTCTGGTTCTTAGGTTTTCAATGTTTGTTTGGGAGTTTTTATGTGTGAGAAAATGTGATTAGTAGTTTTCTTTGTAGCTGCGTTCCTTGGACCAGCGATGAGACGACGAGTTCCAAAAAAACTATTAAAACTCTTCTGTTATTTTGGCAGGATTACTGTATTCTTTCTCTGCACCATCCCATCTGGAAAAATAAAAACAAATGTTTGGCACTGACGGTGAGATCACACACACACACACATACACAGTACTTAATGTGTTTTCACATCACAAAGCACAACAATGTGTTCCGACAGCTGCCAGTTTAATTTGTGGACTGTTATTAGAGGATTAGTGCGAGGAGGATACACGCAACAGAGGGACGGACTTGTGGATTATTCAGCCAGTTTGTAAAAGTCACAATTAAATTTGGAATTTACTTTGAGTAGAGAAAAGTAATATAAAAAAAGGGATGAAAACTCCTCAGGGTCAGTTTGGGTCTCTTATAAGGAAAATATACTTTTTTTATATTTTCCATCTTATGCTAGGTAAGGTAGCATGAGGTCCAAGTGGAGGCCGCCAGGGGGCGCTATGGGGCTCAGAAAATTGGAGGAAAAAAACATCTATACATTTATAGAACATTTATCTATATTTTCTGTAGTAGCTTTGTTCCTTTGGCTAATCTGTTTTTAATTGTAAAGTTGCCTTTTTCTAACATATTGCTGTTAGCAGGAAGCTATTTCACGTGTTACAAGCCCAAAGTATTTTCCATCTCCTACATTCTCTCCAAAGGTCTACCGCAGAACTCTGTGTATACTGTTTATCCATCTGGTGTTGTTCGGACTCTTGTCTACCCTGG